GGTAGCTTTTTGCATACAACTTTTGTGTTGCTCTAAATGCGTTCTTTGGTAATCAGGTTGACAATTGTCTCGTTTAGAAATGGCTTCTCAAAATAATCTCATAGACAAATGGCTTGTTTTCATCAAGGATTAAAGGGTTAATCTCATCACATGTAAGGCCCCAGTGCTCTTTCGGTAGCAGCATAACAAACTGCAGTATCAGCAACATCAAAAGGCCACTAGACGATCCTGGTGGCTGATTTTTTAAAGCACTTACAGACATGACTACATGGGACCAAGCTCTGTCACAGGTTATATTGGGTAGTGTTTTACTCGGCAACTAATCCCGTGTGGATTTAATCGGTCTTCGAGTGGGGTAAATTACTACTCAGAAGGACTGGAGGTGGCAGAATTTGGCCCATAATAATGAGATTTAAAGAACCACTCCCCACCCCTATTTCTCATTTAAGACCAGGATTGATTTTTGATCAGCCAGGGAAGAAAAGCAAACACAGCCAGGTACTGAGTCTGAATGGCCTTTGTTGGTTTCATGCCTCTATTGCTTACAACACTGCACATTGCTTTGGGTGGCAGAGATGCCCAAACTTTATCCACCCAAGGACTGCATTGGAACTATGCCAGCAATCCAAGGGCCATAGTCAATCAAAAATATGTAGTTAACCTCATCTTTCATACGGAGGCTTGGCCCATAGAAACTACTGATTGCGTCATGCAAAGGTCCTTGACTCGTCCAGTGTCCTGTTTGGATCTGATGGAGTGCTGCAAACCGACACCTGTAGCCTCCATGATGGGCTATGCCTTTATATTAAAGATAGGAGTAACCAGGAGCATTGGCTAACTTTGTGGGCTGCACGCTGGCCACCTCTCCTGTAGGGCATTTGCAACCTTTTCATACGTTGCAATACCCTTGGTGACGCTGTGGTTTTGCAGCGCATGCAAGTAATATGAACCAGTCTATATCCAACTCAGCTGAAGAATCCCAGAACCCCTAGCTCAGGCAAGGACTCTTCCTGAAGTCGGTTAGAGTTGCAAGGGCAGGCCCATAAGATGCATGTTTCTGACTCAGTGCCTTGAAAAGGTATCAAGGTGCTGCCTTAGTGGAGCTAGCCACAGCTATGCTTTCAAACCTGTAGGTACATGTTGAAGTCCCTGATAAAATGTTTGTTACGTTAAGACTTATTTTATGCTTTAAATAAGGCAAGTCGTAGTTTCTTTACTGGACATGACCTCCAAGTTCTTGTTTTTTCAAGTGCCACTGACATTTCTCCTGACCTCCAGCATGGTATTAGTGCCTATAAGTAAGTACATAGCGGCAGTGTTAAATGCTGAGTGGGCGAGGACTGTCTTGCTGTCAGTTGTAGTACTAGGTATGAGCCATCAGGCGTTTGCATTTGTATGACGGTCTTCATACAAACTCTTCCCAAGCACCTTAACAAAGACACTTACAGGCTTCATACAGAAGAGCGGGGGGACTAGAATGAGAAATAAAGCAGCCTAAGCAAGGGCTCACAAGCGAGCTTAAAACCAAGAGCAGGTTTGACAAAGTGGAAAGCTACAGGGCGTCTGTTCCAAAGGGCAGGCGCTCTCCACAGTGGGCTGTGCAAAACCAGTGGTGGGCGCTGTGGGGAGTGTGGCTGGAGAGGAGACAGGCTGAGTTGGTGAAAAGCAGGGGACCGATCCTGGCAGGTTTTTCAAAACGAGGAGAAATTCTGGCTAGCCGTTGAAAATGAAGTCGAAGCTAGTGGAATTGTCTGAGAAGGAAGGGTTACGTGGTCACACTTGTGCATGGGTAACGCAAAGCGAGCAGCAGCGTGCTGAGCCTTGGGGCGGGCCCAGAGGCAAGCTGTTGCAGTAACCAAAAGAGGCACGTGAGGCTTGATTTCAGGCAAGGCAGTGGCGTGAACAGACAAATTAGCCTAGGGATGTTATCGAGACAGCATCAGCGGGTATGGTGCTTTGCTGGCAAAGAAAGCCCTGAGAGCTGCTCCACAGAGTTTACAGTCTAGGCCAGACAAAATAGTGTGGGAGCGATGACATCACACAAAAGGTTGGGGGGGGGCAGCAAACCGCAAGTGGGAGAAGGGGAGCCCATCCCCTCCCCCCCACAAACACACACAGAGAAAGGCAAACTGGTCAGATGCAGCAATATAAAACCATGGACACAAGATCCTTGCAAAAGGTGCACTGAAATCTGCTTTAATGAGGTGAATGCACTTGTGGGCAAGGGATGTGGCTGGTGGGGCGTTGACACAGAGGAATAATTTACATTGCCAACGTTTGGATTTTTTTTTTTTTTTTTGGGTAAAACACTCTAGGCTGCACTAATCCTGCAGGTTCCGTTTACCAAAATACTGTCATTGTAAGTCATCTAAATTAGGTCAAGCAGCAGTGGAGGTTCGTTCCCTCGCTAAACCGAAAACGGAACTATGCGGGGCCAACTCGCCTCTTTCTGCTGTGCATACGTTCATGGGCGCAAAGAATGTTCACGGGAACAGACCACCCGCTGTTGGCGTCAGCTTCTGCACCCCATCCCGTGACTTGTTAAAAGAAATCCCCCACTGGGCCGTGCCCTGTGTATTAATGCATAGCTTCTACAGAGCATTTTTCAGCTCTGAATCGCAAAGGCTGTCAGCTAGAGCATGACTCATGCTGCTAGGTCTCAAAAGGCACAATACTCAAGTACAGTGAAAGTAATTTAGGGCTGCTTTTTGGTAGCTTTTGTTGTAGCTCAGCAAGCGGGAAGGAGCTTACTGGTCTCAGCATCCAGTTAGAAATACCAAATAGACCTGGAATGACAACCTTCAAATTTGGGCATGGACAGCACAGGCCTTTTATTTGTGGTGGGCAGGTTGATGCCCAGGCTCCTGTGTTTTTGGGTAGGTTTCAGTCAGTGCCCGTATTTAAATTAAGGAAGTTTTTTTGTGTCAAAATTGCCAACTCTTGCTATGTAGACTGGCTTGTGACAGCTACCCACGGCCTCCTCCTGCCTATGAAAATGGGAGAAGTTGAGACAAACTCACCAAGATGAGTCTTCCTGATTCTGAAGATAGCACTGTGCTCTTTTTTCACTCCCAAACATCTGTAAGTTTGCCTTGTTTGAAAACCTCCCTGTAGATGTTTTGAGACACCCTGGGGTGCTAGACACAGTACTCTAATTGACTTTCAATGGGACTCCAATCAGCACCTTTGAAAATCTCCCCTCTTCTTTTGAAACTACAAAGCAAGAATTACCCATTCAAGCTACAAACGTGAGAAGCCTGAAGTTTGAAATCCAGACTAATTTAAAAACTAACGAACTTGTCTTAGAAGTTGAATAGCATGTTTTCTTGCACAAGTGGCCTTGAAGTGGTAATTGTTTGAATGGTTAATAACCCAATGTATCCACTATTGGTTTTTGTATGAAAGTTTACTTTATCTATAGTACTGCTTTAACGAGTAATGATAAATTGTTCAGTGTGGCTGATTTTAAGTTCCTGTTTGTGCAAGGCCACTTCTGATACTAGGCTCTGCTAAAAAGGAGGTTTGAGTCCTGCCTTGCTGGCACACTAATAGATAAAAATTCCAGTTCTAGAGGTCACTCTTAACATCACCACAATAGACCTTTTCTAGAAGCTTCCTGAGTAAGAGCTGAAGTACTGGACAACTTCTCTTGTCCCATTATTCTCCTTGAAAATTGTGTCTTCTGGGGCAATTGTTTCTATGAATGATGGAGCTCTTAAGAGACTGTCCTTTCAAGAAAAAGACATACTGGCCCATTTTCATTCTTAAAGGGACTATCAATAGGACTCAATGCTGTCAAATGCAGCAGTAATTTCAGTTTCTCAGCAATATGCATGATGCTATTGATTGGTTCATTATCGGTTACTTAATGTTGCATGAATTTCCTCCTCTAAGAAACAGAGGGATTAGTTAGGACAGTCCTTTGGCTCACTGGACATGCTTGCCAAGCATTCATAATACCCAAAAGACGACAATTTGTTTAGTTAATGTACTTGGTCTAAGTGCACAAATCTGTTCTAGTTCTGACAGCTAACAAGGATAGGAAAGTAGGTCTATTCTAAAAGAATTAAAAAGATTGCATTAAGATGCAGTAGTATTCTGATTCCAAAGGTAAATACTGACTCTCGAGCTTCCCCCAATTAAACAATCACGAAGATGATAGAGACTTTGCCAGCTGTATTTTTAATGCTCATTTCCCTTCCCCATTCCTTGTACATACAGTAAAAAAGAAATATTCTTCAAACATGCACAAAAAATGAAGAGAACTGAAGCCCACAAAATTATAAAGTTAGACATGCAATATAATTTCAGTTATAAAAATGAAGTGTACATCCATGTTGCTCTATGCAGGCTGTCCTTAGAATCAGCCATGTCTGTTCCACTTTCTCTGATCAGAACATTAAGACCAATGACAAGACAGGCCCTTAATCAAATCAGTCCTTGGAAACATACTAGACCCCCATTGAGAGAGCTAAACAGGACATACAAAAGTTTCTGGTTGTCTAAACACAAGAAACTGGTGTGTTGGCTTCAGCCTACTTCTGCCAAGTATTAGAATAATGCAGTGTTGTACCCATGTTGGTCCCAGGATATTACAGAGAGGAGGCAATATCTTTTATTGAACCAACTTCTGTTGGTGAGAGAGACAGGCTTTTGAGCTACACAGAGCTCTTCTTCAGGTTTGGGAGAGTGAAGTCAAGTCAACCTAAATTATGTTGGAGTACAGCCACTGCAGTAATTAAATCACGTTTGCACGTCCACACTACTCTTCTTGGGTTGGTGGTGCACGTCCTCACCAGGAGCCCTTGCACCGATTTAACTGTCACTGTGGGACATTGTGGCACAGCTACTGAAAGGCAGCAAGTTGATGTAAGCAACGCAGTGACTACACTGAGACTGCATCAACTTAACTACATTGCCGTAAGCTCTACCCCTCTCATGGAGGTGCGGTTATTCATGCATATCAATACACTTACTGGGGATTGATGCTGCTGCAATCGGTGCAGCAGGGGTTGATTTAGCAGGTCTAGTGAAGACCCACTACATCGACCACAGAGCACTCTCAAGTTAATTTTGTTCTGGTGGAGAACCAGATTTAAGTCGACAGGCGAGCGTCTCCCGTCAATGCAGCACGGTGTACACCCCAGTAAGTTGACCTAAGCTACGTCATCTTCAGCTACTTTATCCACATAGCTGGAGTAGTGTGTAGACAAGGCCTAAATTGATGTAGTGGGCAAGTTACACCAGTGGGAGCTACATTTTAGTGTAGTAAACACTTAGTGTTAGGTCAACGCAAGGCACCTTATGTCAACCTAACTGTAGTGCTGACCAGCCCTTAATCAGAGTATCACAGTCAAGTATGAGGTGGAACAGATTATTTAGCATAAATAGTTAACCTTTCAATGGTCCCTTGAAATGTGTGTTAACTATTTATGCTAAACAATCTGTTCCACCTTCTATTTAACTTTGACACTCTGATTAGGTTTCCCAGACCTAAAGAAGAGCTCTTTGTAAACTCTAAAGCTTGTGTCTCTCACCAAACAGAAGTTGGTTCAATAAAAGATAATAGAGACAAGGTGGGTGAGATAATATCAGAATTAAGAGTCTGTGCAGCTCTCCTTGGTGGACTAGTGGGGCGGTGGGACTAGTGGGGTGGAAAGAGTATGCAGTGGGAAAAAATTGTACATCAGACACTGTCCAGAATTTATGGAAAATGAAGGAAACTGTACTTACAGAAAATAGCAAGACTGCCAGTCATTCAACAAATATTCCCATTGCCTCCATCTTTCTGAGCAGGAACTTTCATTCCTAAACAAGAGGGGAGCTACTCTCACTATTTCACTCATTGCACTATGATATGCATCCAGTAATACTGAAATTCAAAGTATTAATACACTGCCATGTTTATTCTTCGCCAATTAAATTAGTAACTTGCCAATCTGTTCAAGATTTGTTCTAATATAGTTTTTGAATGTTTCTGTTTATAAGTCAGTGACACATGGAAACCATTCTTGCCAAATTTCTGGATATTACCCATGAGAGATTAGTTGCAAAGTTAGACTTGAAAATTTTTTTTAAAGTATTGGTTGTGCTTGTTTTTTGTACTTATTGAGCAAAAAATATCACGAATGCAGACCAGTATATGTGGTCAGAATACAGTGATCCTCTGTTCTGTTAAGGATTGTATGAATTTTACTTTTCACAACTTTATTATAATCACATAGCTGGAATATTGGGAATATGTAAAGTAGCAGAAGTAAAGTAGGCTCAAGAGAATCAAGAGAAACAGTCCTCACACAGAATGTTCATTGTAAAAGATGCTACAAAAGTGACACCTACCTTGAGTGAGCAACAACAGTTTTTCCCTGAAAGAAACACTCTGGTGAGCAGTAGATATAACCTGTGCCCAGACTGGCTTGAATTAATTGTGTGGTAAATTTATTCACTATTCCTTTTTTACTTCCTCTCCAAACCTACCTTGTAATATAACCCCAAACACAAACCTTTTACAAAACCGGAGGTTAAAAAAATAAGCAGACTTTCCACAACTCTACTTCTCGGGACCAAACAGAAAAGTCCATTCAGATTTTCAGAAGTTCCTGCTAGCTCAGTACATTTGAGGGCTTTTAGGGCTTGCAAAACTCAAAAGAGCATATGATTCTTAAAAAATAGAATCTGTCTCATTTAGCCAGGACATACGGAATTTCAGTAAATTCCTTGCTCCCCTTTTGTGTTAACTCAATTTTGCCCTGTTCTCTGGTTCTTAACTTTAAAATGTTATTTACCCATTTGCACACTTGAAAGAAAACAGAATTCCAAGGCTCCCTTGAAAGCTTCCAATATTTACAACTAAAATAAATCAGGTTTATTTTGAAGTTATTCTTCCAGTGCCAACTGGGCTTCCAGTGCAGTGCTCCAAGTTGCTTACCCATTTCATCCCTCTGCTCAAGAGTTTTCAGGCATGTTCCAGTCTGTAATTGCATTAATGAAAACAGATTGAGTTCAGCACAATCTTCTGCAACATGCACGGCCACTGTAGCATGGCAGGAGATCAGAGTATTACAATTTGTCCACAATCTGTTACTCAATGTTTCTGGATTCTTAGGTCATTTACATATCAAAGAGTAAAACTAACAGATCCTGTCTTGGACGACTGACACTGTATTTTACTAGCAATTTCTAAAACATCCTGGACAAAGCAGAGTTTCCTATCTGAAAGGACACTAACACTGTCATCTTGGTTGGTAAGAACTACAGCATAGGACAACTCATAGCTCTGACTTAGTTTGTGTTACACTCCCAGAAGTCTATATTGACTATAAAATTACTTGCTCATTTTAGTAGGAAATTACAATAATAATTTTAATAGGAAAGTTATATTCAAACTTATAAAACATTTACAATGTACAACCTTTACACAAAATAATATTCCATTTTAGACCTACAGAGATTCAGACACTTTTTACAGTTAACCTCATTAGTACCTGCAAGATCCTTCTTAAAAATAAATATTTTAACAAAAACTTCTGATAAAAAGTAGTAATACCACAGATCAATAGAATATTGAGCATGCCACTGAAATGCTACAACAAAGCCCCTTTCACTCTCCAATCTTGAGACAGCAAATCCTGCAATTCTCCTTCATCTTCACTACCAATAGCCTCATCCTCTTTCTCCTGGATTGCTCTTAATTTCATGGCTTCCTTAAATTTATCTTTCATTACATCCTGGCGGTTACGCAGCAGCTCAACACGGCGGTAACATTCACTGTAAAAAGGTAAAAACATTTAGTTAACATTTATGGCCTTTGCCAAATTAAAAAAAAACAGATTTTCCCACAATACTGGGAGTGCTTCTCCTGTCAAAAAACGTGAAAGACATACAAACGTTAAAATTCAAATAAGCCTTTCACAATAGACCCATATGATTATCTAACATTTTGCTGTAGTCCTATGGAAGCAGACTGAAGAAGTGGAGTGCCTTGGTCATAGCTTTTCTTACAAAGATGTCAAAAGCAACAACAGATCAAATCACAATCCTGTGATAATTTGATTCAAAAATATCAAAGATATGAAACCACTCGGTCAAATTCTGTAGAGAAGGAAAAAAGCTCAAACCAGTCTTTTCAATTTTTGTCTAAGATGTTATTTCACCTGAGGTGGAAAAGGGCGCACATGGATTTTTATTGCTATCTGTTAGGACACACAGAAGTAGTACTTTTAAATGGAAGCCTGGCAAGGTGTTGTAGCCCTGGAACTTCACCATTTAAAGAATGTGTGCTACAGTAAGCCTCTGAACTTGTGTTTGGCCGTCAGATTTTGCATTTGCTTTAAAGTGCAGTTTGACACTGATAACTATGTAAAAATGATAACTCTTACTAGTGAACAGGATCTGTTCCTTCAAATACTAAATTGTATTTGCTTACTTGATTTCAATATGTTTTTTACTTCTTCTCACTCCTATTAGTCCTGCAGATTCAATACAGAGAAAAGAGCTTAAAGCTGGATCCTAATCACGGAGGCAAGCATGGAACACCATACTGTCATGTTTAGAGAGTTACTTTCAAAGTATACCTGCACTTTGTGATACTTCATTTGATCTAGAATACAATCAGTTTTAAAAGGCAGTTGACCTTACACTCCCAAAACTGGATTTCACCAGCTTTACCAGGCCATTTTGGATTGATGCTGAGGAGTGAACCACAATGGCCATTTCTCAACACTCAGTTGTATTACCAATTTTGAAAGCGCACTGGAACACGCACTCAAAGACAGGCTTTAGGAATTGAACACAAAATGTCTAAGGTGCTTCACAGGAGACACTTCCACCTAACACTGAGGATCTACTCCAGTAGACAAAATACTGGACAAAATACAACATGGTTTTACAAAGGTAGATCGTGCCAAACCAACCTGATCTCCTTCTTTGAGAGAGTAACAGATTTTTTAGATAAAGGAAACGCAGTGGATCTAATTTACTTAGATTTTAGTAAGGCGTTTGATACTGTGCCACATGGGGAATTATTAGTTAAATTGGATAAGATGGGCATCAATAGGAAAATTGAAAGGTGGATAGGGAATTGGTTAAAGGGGAGACTACAACGGGTCCTACTGAAAGGTGAACTGTCAAGTTGGAGGGAGGTTACCAGTGGAGTTCCTCAAGGATCAGTTTTGGGACCAATCTTATTTAATCTTTTTATTACTGACCTGGGCACAAAAAGTGGGAGTGTGCTAATAAAGTTTGCAGATGATACAAAGCTGGGAGGTATTGCTAATTTAGAGAAGGACAGGGATACCCTACAGGAGGATCTGGATGACCTTGTAAACTGGAGTAATAGGAATAGGATGAAATTTAATAGTGAGAAGTGTAAGGTCATGCATTTAGGGATTAATAACAAGAATTTTAGTTATAAGCTAGGGACGCATCAACTAGAAGTAACGGAGGAGGAAAAGGACCTTGAGTATTGGTTGATCATAGGATGACTATGAGCTGCCAATGTGATATGGCTGTGAAAAAAGCTAATGTCATCTTGGGATGCATCAGGAGAGGTATTTCCAGTAGGGATAAGGAGGTTTTAGTACCATTATATAAGGCACTGGTGAGACCTCACCTGGAATACTGTGTGCAGTTCTGTCTCCCATGTTTAAGAAGGATGAATTCAAACTGGAACAGGTACAGAGAAGGGCTACTGGGATGATCCGAGGAATGGAAAACTTGTCTTATGAAAGGAGACTCAGGGAGCTTGGCTTGTTTAGCCTAACTAAAAGAAGGTTGAGGGGAGATATGATTGCTCTCTATAAATATATCAGAGGGATAAATACCAGAGAGGGAGAGGAATTATTTAAACTCAGTACCAATGTGGACACAAGAACAAATGGATATAAACTGGCCACTAGGAAATTTAGATTAGAAATTAGACGAAGGTTTCTAACCATCAGAGGAGTGAAGTTTTGGAATAGCCTTCCGAGGGAAGTAGTGGGGGCAAAGATCTATCTTGCTTTAAGATTAAACTCGATAAGTTTATGGAGGAGATGGTATGATGGGATAACATGGTTTTGGTAATTAAATATTCATGGTAAATAGGCCCAATGGCCTGTGATGGGTTTTTAGATGGGGTAAGATCCAAGTTACCCGGGAAAGAATTTTCTGTAGTATCTGGCTGATGAATCTTGCCCATATGCTCAGGGTTTAGCTGATCGCCATATTTGGGGTCGGGAAGAATTTTCCTCCAGGGCAGATTGGAAGGCCTGGAGGTTTTTCGCCTTCCTCTGTAGCATGGGGCACGGGTCACTTGCTGGAGGATTCTCTGCTCCTTGAGGCTTCAAACTACAATTTGAGGACTTCAATAGCACAGATATAGGTGTGAGGTCTTTTTAGGAGTGGTGGGGAAATTCTGTGGCTGCATTGTGCAGGAGGTCAGACTAGATGATCATAATGGTCCCTTCTGGCCTAAATATCTAGAATCTATGAATCATTTAAAGAGTTTCTCTAGAAAATACAACAGCTTCCAAAAAGCTTCATGGGCTATTTGAACATTGCCTGCATTCAAATATGCTGTTCTAAATAGAACATGAAGCTAAAAGTCTGGCCACATGGACTTCTACTTCAGACAAAATAAATTATCAATAGCAACAACCTTTGCAGCTACCTACAAATTCCTGAATTTGGTCCAACGTAATCATGAGATTTTAAATGGTGATGGTAAAAGGGACTGTTTAAACACCTTCAGGCTTAGTCAAAGCTCTCTCCAGAATTACAAGATCACTGTTGAAGTCGTATCTTTAGTCCCAAAAGCAACTTGACTTGGATATCATCATTAATACCATCTAAGTAGCTGCTAAATCTGCCACACTGGTTAACTATTGCTTCAGTATGAACATCTCCTTTTCACTTAAGGATGGCTGCTAGTTTTTCACTCATCGAAAAAAAAACATCCAACTGGAAACTAGTCCTTTCCTTTCAATCAATAGCTTTGTCATGAATTGTAAATGTAACACAAAGTGACTGATTTACAGGACCATAAAATGTCAAACTAAGCTGTATTCATTGATCCTGCTGAAGCTTAAACTAGTTGTGTCCAACTGTTTCAATGGAACACTGCAGCTAGTGAGGGTTCACCTGATAAGGTTTATCATTCAGCAGACATTTTCAAATAATTGTCATGAGAAGCAAGGGTCCGGTTAGTCACCAAGAATTAAGACATGAATCTCCATATGAAAATTATGTTCCTAATTTTTTTGTTCAGTCTACTAAACATTGTTTAAGAGTTTGGTTCTCAAATATAGTCAGTTCACTGGAGTTCTACATGATGCAGAATCCACAGATGGAGCATGGGAAAAAGTGAACCTTGTTCAAAGGGTTTAATGAAATTTGATCTCTTCCTGTAGTTTACTGGGCGGCTCTGCCCTTACCTACTGTTTTCAGAGCTCTCAGTGCAGTCTGTCTTAGTAAACACCGGTATAATGCTACCACCCAAATCAATCATTTTATTTAAAAGGTTTTACTGTCAGGAAACCAACTGTTTTTAAAATTCAAACACTTTGATCAGTGAATATTTAAAAGTATTGCCATGATAGGTTACAGATGAAATGTCTACTCATTCTCAGGGGTGGGTGGGGGGAAGGGGGGAAATCAGAAAGCAAAGTTTGAGAAAGACCCATCTACTTACATCTGCTCATCAATTTCTCCAATCTGACGATCCAAACGTCCCTCCTCATCCTCTTCTGCCACTATTGCTTCTGAAACCTAAACCAGAAAAGCTGTGAATAAGTTCAGCCCCATTCAATCTTTCTTTCCAGTAAAAGAGCAGTACTGGAAACTAAAAGCAAGAGATTAAAGTATGTTGTAACAAAGTCACAATCCTATGTAGATCTTCCCTCCTCCAAGAGGTATGTTAATGGGACACACAGGAAAAGTCTTTGTGACTTGGGCTAAAGTTCAGTGAAAAGGACAGAACAAAATGCTACACCAAATCCCTAACTAGTCTAGCTCCTTCTTTTGAATTTTTTAGTTCAATATTAAATATTGTTTTGAAACAGAATATAAAACCAAATACATCCATCGAAAGGCTAAGATGCAACAGAACATATACATCAACATTTGGTGTTTACCAATTATGTACAATAAGCCTGTTAGAAGTATTAAAATACCCACTTGATCCCAATGTATTTCTAACCTGTTATTTTTTTCAGCATATACTTTCTCAAATCTGAATGTCTGGGAGAGGCTATGCAACCAATGGTCCACGCATAATTGAGAAGATTCCTTCCTATGCTGAAGAATTGTTTGAATGGTTAATAACCAAATGTATCCACTATTGGTTTTTGTATGAAAGTTTACTTTATCTATAGTACTGCTTTAACGAGTAATGATAAATTGTTCAGCACCAGTTTTCTTAGCAGTTATTTATAATCAATTATTTTCAATTCAAAGGTTTAAAAACATTAAAGGCAGCAAATGAGAATACCAGGTATCTATCACAATGTCTGTACAGTGTACATCAGGAAGGTGTAAAATCGGACTCTGATACAAGGTTTCCTGCAACCCTAAGAAGTAAGGCATTAGAATATTGAAAAACTGGGGCCAATCAGGATGTGGTCTGTGTAAATTCCTCTAAAACATTCCCTACTTTAGGGGTGTTTGTCAAGTTTAAGTTCACCACAAAACAAACACTCTTATAGCTTTTACAGGGATTAAGGTGTTTAGAAAGAGGTAATTTTCAGATTTTAAAATTAAATGTTTCTGAAGCAGCAGCTAGGAATATGGTCCATTGACTGCAGATGGGAAACTGTCAAGGTGTGCCTGCTATCTCACTTAAATCCAGCCTAGTGTATTTAATTAGACAGGTTTGTCATCAAAAGCTCTTTCCACTTAACTTTTCCTTGAGTGTAAAATGCAGGGACCTTTCGCTCAGCTGTAAAGTGTGTTTAACTGCACACTGCATTGTGACAAGCAGTCGTCAAATACAGTATGTCACTCACTCTGCCAAGCTGCATGAAATGGTTGTTTTTCCAATTATGTACTGTATTTAGAAGCGATAAAGAGATTCCACTACTCACTGTGTTGACTTGTCGCATTGCCTTCTGAAATTCGTCCCACTCTTTGTCCATCTGATCCTTCGGAGCATCAACCTTTCGCACCTAGTGAATGTGAAAAACCAAAATTCTTTAGTAACTGCCTAATGATTCTCGCTGGTGTTCTAAAACCAATAGGAGAAACAAAACATATATTCTGCTATTTACTAAGAAAGTTTTGACAGCAAGTAAATGCTTTGTCTCAAATAATGCATATGAACAAACAGCCATCTTTCATGATTTTGAAAAGAAAATCTGATTCTAGACCTAGATGGAAAAAACCTGCCTGTACAAAATGTATGATTACAATATTGAGGGAAAGCAGGTGACCATGAATGGATGGCACAGGATGTTAGGCCAGGTTGCTTTCAGCATCCCAATCTGGTAATATGATAGCTTCTATTTTTGACTGTTTTCAATGTCCAGTTACTTGCATGGTATTATATTTTGTGAATCACCATCTGTCCAATAGTATACCGCAGTCTTAGTGGTTTTTTTGAGATATCTGCCTTTAAAAAAAAAAAGGCAAATGAACCAAACAATCAAAGACTGTAACAGAAATGCCCATGACTCTCAATTAGGTCTCTCACCAGAGATTGTGACATGAATCATGTGCTTGATGAATAATAATGTCTGGGTCACCATTCTTTACTCTGTGCTACTTTAGGATGAGTAATGGAGCTAAGAGGAACTAAACAGTTTGAAGAAGATTTGTGGATCCTCCTTTCTAGTTCAGCTTTCTTTTCCTTTTATCCATTCCTGTCTTTTACCAATATGGCAATCCTTATAATGTAAAATGGCCAGTCATTTACATGCTTTGTTCTTGATCGATTAGACAATATGCAACAGTATAAAATAAGTCATTATTAACTGAGGAGTTTGAAAGCAAACTACATACTGGGAGATCTAACACTTCCATCATTCCATAGTTCTGTTTTGTGGTTATTCCTATCATGGTTACATGTATTGTACTGTTACGTACGGTGGTTTTGCCTTTTGTAAGTCATGACTATTTGTATTTCTTATAATAAACTTAAACACGAACAAGACAGAATTATTTTTCCTTGAAGTGTGTATCTGATCAAACATTTAAATGCATTAGTAACCCCTGATATTAATACCAGATTTCAAAGAGCTGTTTTTAAATACACAAAACCAGAGAAAATTGCAAAAACAGGCAGCATCTCTGAACATTTTGTCTATGATTCCTGCCAAGAATCACTGTAACAGTCTGAGATTACAGTGCCACCAACGTGGTGGTGGTACTCCTCTCCATATGAGCTAAACTGGAAAGAGTTAATTAGCAAGAGCTTTGTGCCACTGGCAGCGAACAAATAAAGCAACAGTTCCTTTCAATGCCTACATGCTTGTGAATTGTGTTAAGAACCTGGGTCAAAGAGAGACCACTACCTAGCACTGCCCGTGCACTGGCAGACGTCCTGCCTGAAGACTGTCCCTTGCACACAGCATCCATCACCTGCAGGACTCTCTCCCCTCTTCCACTTGCACATCACTCGAATCACAGCTCTAGACACCACTATCATAGCCCCAACCCCTAGCACCTCATCTACACCAGCAACACAAAGGGTTCATTTTAAAATAACCATTTATTTTAAGTTTCCCCCAAGTAGGGATCAAACTTCTAAGCACTCTACACATTATACTATGTACGTTATTCTGGTGCAGACAACATGAAGCGCTTAATCATCTTGTGGCTCCTGCAGGGCTCATGTGGAATGGCAGGAAAAATACCACTGAGGCTAGTGCTACTGCAGGTAACAGCATACATGTAAGTTTGAGATGCCAGTGTTCAGTCCTCATAACAAGGCTAACATCTCAGGTGCCAAGCATGGTTATTGCAGTTCTATCAGCAAGCTCTGAAATTACTTTTCTGCAGTAGAGCAATTCATGGCTTACCAAAAAAAAGCTACCCTTCTCAACTATATTCTTCAAAATTAAGTAGCCCCATTTCCGGGTGCATGAAGAAACCTATTGTGCACGCCACATGCAAGCATAGCTAGAAGCATGGCTGGTGCTGAAAGTATCCCACCAGAGAAAATAAAATAGTTTCAGGCTGGTAAAGATCAGAGGGGGCTTGAGGAGGGATACAAAAAATAAAACAAGAGGCTGCTTTCTAGCAGCGTTCCTTATTGTTGTGTTATATTAATATATCTCTTCTTCTATACATACAAGCGTGTAATCAGGAGACATTAAAAACATCCACGGCATCATCTCACACTAAGACGGAAGGTGGCTACAAGTATTTGCTTTATAAGCCATGTGGTAAAGTCATTAACATACCAAGAGTGTTCATAATTCTCAGGCATGTTCAATACAGAGACATATTCAGTGAAAAGAAAGAATTTTCCACAAATTTTCCTGCCCATCACATGGTTTGCCAATTTAACAAAGCAATATTAGAGTGTGCAGATGTGCACAGCTATCAAATTTGCAGTCAATTTTACATACAAATGTAAAAATATATTCTCTTGCATATCTTCCAAACAAGTTATGCTATTTTCATGAGTGAATACAAAATAAGGGCATCACTTGGTATACAAGATGTTGCAAATTTGGACCAGAACAAAATTTCACCTTTTATGGTGATTTTGGCCCCAAACCTCTCATGACCCCTCTCCCCCAGCCAAAAAATGTTTTCTACTGGGGCAGCAAAGAGAAAGGGTGAGAGCTAGCTTGCTGTTTGAGTGGGCTAGTATTGTAAGTAGATTAATGTACATCTTCACTCCTAACATCCAGTTGACATTTTAGCCTCAATAAAACTTCCTTTAAACCATGAGAAAGCTGTATTGCAAACAACTGCTTAGAATAAACTCAGTCTGAAAGGATGCTCAGACCCCATGTATATTGTTAGCACTCTTCCCTTCCATGTCCTTATATTAATATACATTGAATATAGAATTGTTGGAGTGGAAGGGACCTCAAGGGTCCTCTAGTCCAGTTCAGGACTAAGTATTATCTAGACCATCCTTGACAGGTGTTTGTCTAACCTGCACTGAAAAATCTCCAATGATGGAGATTCCACAACCTCCCTAGGCAATTTATTCCAGTGCTTAATCACCCTGACAGTTCGGATGTTTTTCCTAATGTCCAAACTAAACCTCCCTTGCTGACGAGAAGCAATTTAAGCTCATTGCTTCTCATCCTATCCTCAGAGGTTAAGAAGAATTCTTCTCCCTCCTCCTTGTAACAACCTTTTATGTACTTGAAAACTGTTATGTCCCCTCTCAGTCTTCTCTTTTCCAGAATAAACAAACCCAATTTTTTCAATCGTCCCTCATACGTCATGTTTTCTAGACCTTTAATCGTTGTTGCTCTTCTCTGGACTTTCCCCAATTTGGCCACATCTTTCCTGAAATGTGGTGCCCAAAACTGGACATAATACTCCAACTGAGGCCTAATCAAGGCCGAGTAGAGCGGAAGAATTACTTCCTCATGTCTTGCTTACAACTCTCCTGCTAATTCATCCCAGAATTATGTTTGCTGCTTTTTGCAACAGTGTTACACTGTTCACTTGTATTTAGCTTGTGATCCGTGATGAACCCAAGATCCCTTTCTGTAATACTCCTTCCTATGCAGTCATTTCCCATTTTGTGTGTGTGCACCTGATTGTTTCTTCCTAAGTGGTGTATTTTGCATTTGTCCTTAATGAATTTCATCCTATTTACTTCAGATGATTACTCCAGTTTGTCCAGATCTCCTTGAATTTTAATCCTATCCTCCAAAACAGTGGTTCTCATCCAGAGGTCTGGGGTCCCCTGTGGGGGCACAAGCAGGTTTTAGGGGGTCTGCCAAGCAGGGCTGGCGATAGACTCGCTAGAGCCCAGGGCAGAAAGCTAAAGCCCCGCCATGTGGGACTGCAGCCCAGGGCCTCAAGCCCATCACCCAGGGCTGAAGCCAAAGCCTGAGGAACTTAGCTTCACGGTGCCCTCTGTGGCAAGGGGCCCTGGGAAATTGCCCTCCTTGCTACTCCCCTAATGCCGGCCCTGGATTTTATATGCACAAAACCATTTGTTGTGGCACACATGGGCTGTGGAGTTTTTATAGCATGTTGGGGGGCCTCAGAAAAACATTGAGAACCCCTGCTCCAAAGCACTTGCAACCTCTCCCAGCTTGGTATCATCCACAAACTTTATAAATGTACTCTCTATGCCATTATCTAACTCACTGATGAAGATATTAAACAGAACTGGACCCAGAACTGATCTCTGCGGAACCCCCACCGCGATATGCCCTTCCAACTTGACTGTGAACTGCAGATAACTACTCTCTGGGAACGGTTTTCCAACCAGTTATGCACCCACCTTATAGTAGCTTCATCTAGGTGGTAGTTCTCTAGTTTGTTTATGAGAAGGTCATGCAAGACAGTATAAAAAGCCTTACTAAAGTCAAGCTATACCACATCTAATGCTTCTCCCCTATCCACAAGGCTTGTTACCCTCTCAAAGAAAACTATTAGGTTGATTTGACACTATTTGTTCTTGACAAATCCATGCTGATTGTTACTCATCAACTTATTATCTTCTAGGTGTTTGTAAATTGATTGCTTAATTATTTGCTGCATTATCTTTCCCAGTACTAAAGTTAAGCTAACTGGTCTGTAATTCTCCAATTTGTCTTTATTTCCCTTTTCATAGATTGGAAAAGGGCAAATATAGTGCCAGTCCTCTGGAATCATTCCCATCTTCCATGACTTCTTGAAGATAATCACTAATGGCTCAGATATCTCCTCAATCAGCTCCTTGAGTATTCTAGGAGGTATTTCATCAAGCCCTGGTGACTTGAAGACATCTAACTTATCTAAGTAATTTTTAACTTGTTCTTTATCTATTTTAGTCTCTGATCCTACCTCATTTTCAGTGGCATTCACTATGTTAGATGTCCAATCGCTACTAATCTCTTCGGTGAAAACTGAAAAAAAAGTTTAGCACTTCTGCCATTTCCACATTTTCTGTTATTGTCCCCCGCCTCCATTAAGTAATGGGCCTACCCTGTCCTTGGTCTTCCTCTTGCTTCTAATACTTTCACATACATCAATGCGAAACCATTTAATTGGTCATTCTCACTTATTTTGATCTGAAAGGTTCACCCACTACTCTGAGTATTACTAAGTCTGAAGAAAAAACAAACAAAAGGATCAATTACCCTTGCATCCACCTCAGGATCATCAAAGAATCCCTCTGGTAAAGCTTCTGCAGTGTTTTCTTTCCTGAAATGTTAAAATAATGAACGGTTATCTTGATCTAGTGCTTATTACTCTGATCTTTAATTCCACAGATAAAATGTCAAGAGCAAAGACCAGTATATTTTTGATGAACATGTAAAAAAAAAAAAAAAAAGCATTTCTTCTCCACATGCAGCACCAGCTGGATGTTAATCTCAACAAAATTTGTTTCTACAGCTAAATCTTATCAAACACACAAGGAGCTGATTAGATAATAGGTTTGGGTCAATATTCCAGAACTCAAAGAGCTGGAAGTTAGGCTCTTAGGTGTTTTCAAAAGTAGTGAGCACCCAAATGCTTTCCCATTACATTAGGTTCCTATTTTTGAAAATCTTTTGGAATGCTTAAAACAAGACAGCTTGCTGTAAGTGAGACAAATCTTTATACAACAAATAAATGTGTTTTCCTTTTAACTGTTCAAAGGAACAGACCTAAATATAGTCAAAGTTATGTATATTATCTGGAAGACTGAAACTTATTTGCATTTCCTCTTAACATTTGATCTGATTAATTTACCTTTCCACTACCTTTTCTTGAACTTCTGCTTTCTGAATGGACCCTGAATGGGAGACTATGGGAGCAGCTGTCATTTTGTTGTCAAAGAAATCTACAAGAAAAGACAAGCACAACCTTACGTACAAAGGAACAATGGTTCAAGCTTCTACACAAAGTTTTGACTAAAAAGAGGAATTTAAATTAGCACCATTTGTGTTAATCAAGAAACAAAACTAGCCAATTAATACTCCACCAGGTGGCTCAAATAATTAGTATGTTGTACGCATTATTACATATTTGAATTCTATGAACATCACTGCAATAAAAGATAATTGCAACATAAAATTACTGGGATGCTAGGAAAATATTGTATAATGACAGCAATTGGCAAGAATCTTTTTCACATGGGTAACTTTAGCACAGTCAACTGACAAAAATCATACTTCCATAAATATACCAGATAAGAAAATTAACAAGGAGAAAACCCCCAAAAGAATATACCCATCAGTGCTATTTCAAATGTTTAATAATTATAAAATACCTACCAGTATAATTTACAATGAAATAGTCAACAACTTCTTATTACTGAATTTTATATTTTGCAATCCAAAGTTACCTGCTGGTAGAGCATTAGCTATTGTTTCTTGAGCTGGGGGTGGAATTTCATTTTTTTGCACACTGGATGGTTTGCTAGTATTGTCTTTTTCTTCTTCCTCCTCCTCCTCCTCATCATAATCTTCTGCCAGTAAACTGGGACCTGGACCCTTTGAGGGTAGCGTTTTTGTTTCTGCATGCTCTGCTTTATCAAAAAAATCCGTGGGTAGCCTAGGAAAGGACACATGATATAAATATTTGTACTTTATAACAAAGCCAGTTACAGAACAGTGTTTGAAATCCAGTTACTTTGTGAACCCTAAGTATCTCCTACAGATAATGCAATATACTGAATAGTGTGCCTGCTAGCATAATATAAAATAACCACCACCTAAAAACCAACATGTAATTGTTGTTTTCTTTTGAAGCTCACCAGATATGGTCAAGTCAGTGCTACAAATACATTTATTGTACTAATTCTGTATTAAAATCTGCAGAACAAAAGGGTTTAAAAAAAATGTCCCACACCAAAGAGTAACTACCCTATCATGTCCTCTGAAGCTACATGGATTCAGATACCAGTTTCATATTCACAAAGCAATGTGCATACATTTTACATACAGGGAAACCACTGATAGAAAAAAAACTTATGATAAAGTAGTTATATTAAGGTCACCTAAACCTTGGTAGCACAAAATTATAACAGAACATACGAATGGCCATACTGGGTCAGACCAAAGGTCCATCCAGCACAGTATCCTGTCTGCCAAAAGTGGCCAATGCCAGGTGCCCCAGAGGGAGTGAACCTAACAGGTAATGATCAAGTGATTTCTCTGTCATCCATCTCCACCCTCTGACAAACAGAGGCTAGGGACACCATTCCTTACCCATCCTGGCTAACAGCCATTAATGGACTTAACCTCCATGAATTTATCCAGTTCTCTTTTAAACCCTGTTATAGTCCTAACCTTCACAACCTCCTCAGGCAAGGAGTTTCCACAGGTTGACTGTGCGCTGTGTGAAGAAGAACTTCTATTTGTTTTAAACCTGCTGCCCATTAATTTCATTTGGTGGCCCCTAGTTCTTATATTATGGGAACAATAACTCTTCCTTATTCACTTTCTCCACACCACTCATGATTTTATATACCTCTAGCATATCCCCCCTTAGTCTCCTCTTTTCCAAGATGAAAAGTCCTAGCCTCTTTAATCTCTCCTCATATGGGACCCGTTCCAAACCCCTAATCATTTTAGTTGCCCTTCTCTGAATCTTTTCTAGTGCCAGAATATCTTTTTTGAGAGGAGGAGACCACATCTGTATGCATACCATGGATTTATATAAGGGCAACAAGATATTCTCTGTCTTATTCTCAATCCCCTTTTAATGATTCCTAACATCCTGTTTGCTTTTTTGACTGCCGCTGTATACTGCATGGACGTCTTCAGAGAACTATCCACAATGACCCCAAGATCTCTTTCCTGATTAGTTGTATCTAAATTAGTCTCCATCATACTGTATGTATAGTTGGGGTTATTTTTTCCCAATGTGCATTACTTTACATTTATCCTCATTAAATTTCATTTGCCATTTTATTGCCCAATCACTTAGTTTTGTGAGATCTTTTTGAAGTTCTTCACAGTTTGCTTTGGTCTTAACTATCTTGACCAGTGTAGCATCATCTGCAAACTTTGCCACCTCTCTGTTTACCCCTTTCTCCAGATCATTTATGAGTAAGTTAAATAGGATTGGTCCTAGGACTGATCCTTGGGGAACACCACTAGTTACCCACTAGACCCATATTTTCAAAGCTGGGTGTCTAAACTGGGCATCTAAATAAAAGGCTTGATTTTCAGAGGTACTGAGCAGCCACACATTGAAGTCAGTAAAAGCTCAGCAGCTCTGAAAATTCAGGTCACATATTTAGGAACCGAAATATGGATTTTGAAGCATAACTTTAGGCATCCAAGGTAGAAAACATTGGTCTTTGTGTTTAAGATGTTAACGTAAGATACAAAGGAAACAGGCCCTTCTAAAAATAGCCAAACATGGGCAGCGGGTGAACCCTGAGCTCAGGGAGGCCAGCCCCCAGCTCGGCCCGCTCCTTCTGCCCAAGGTGCCCCCCCCACCAAAGGCCTTCCCAACCCTGGGCTGCCCAAGTGCCTCTAGTCCCAGAGTGCCAGGTGGGTGGCATCCCATCCTCCAGCCCCAGACTGCCAGGTTGGCGGGCAGTGCAGCCCCTGACCCTGCCCCAGAGAACAGGGAGGAGTCTCTGGCCAGCCCCCACTAGCCCCAGCCTGGGGCCCTGGCAAAGGAGAAAGAGTCCCCTGCAGCACAGCACCAGGAAGGAGGGTGCCTGGGGGCGGAGCATGGGCAGGGCCACACAGGGTTGTCTGGGGAGGCTCAGCCTCCCCTGGCCTTTGATACCCGCTGCCCATGACTAAAAATTTTAAGTAGTACAAGTTCCACAACTGTGTAATTCTACAAATAAATTTCTGAGAGTACTCCGCATAAGATTGAGCAAACACTAGCTGGCAAAGGAAAAGACTAGTCTCCCTCTGACAGATTGCCTATGGCACACCTACACTGCATTTTAAAACCCACGGCAGCAAGTCTGAGGGCCTAGGTCTACAGACTCATACTCAGGAGGCTCATGCTAAGGCACTAAAAAAAAAAAAAAAGCAGTGTCGACATTGTGGCCCAGGAAGGGAGGTGAGCTCCAGCCTGAGCATCTACACAGCTGTTTTTAACAACACAGCATGAGCCTGACTCTGTAGGCCTGGACTCAGACTTCCTGCTCTGGGTTTTCAAATGCAGCGTAGACACACCCCAAGAGACTGTCTCAGTCAAGATGAGCTCAAGTCTCCCTTCTTGAGCTTTTTCAAAAAGTGACATTGACAACCAAGTCCGAGCGCTAGAACGTTTGAAGGGTAAACTCCATTATCTCACAGGCAGTACTCGTCGCCCGATGAGGTTCAACGTGTACTTATCTGATCCAAAACTTTTTATAGAGGGAAAAATGTTAGAAAGAAACAGAGTGAAAGTACAACAAAATCTTTTTTTTTAAATCAGTTTCTCTCATGCTGCTTATCTTTTTACGCCATTTTTCTTTCCCTTGTCTTTTTTTAGCTTGTTAACTTATACTGCATTTTGCTCATTTTGTAGCTTCCACTAAAGCTTGGTAAGTAACTGTCCATTTGCCACTATGTAGGCCCAGACAGCATACTGTACGCTCTAGCGGCTGAGCACAATCAGATCAAACCAGAGAAACATGGACTGTCAAGCTCCTACCTGGGACTGCATTCCTCTAGGTCACCATAGGAGCAGGTCACAAAGCAGGCAGCTTTCAAGTACGTTTTCAGCAGGGTGCCATCTGGTGTCTCAGTTTTCCTCACCCTCAAATATTTCTCTCCTCAGCCTCTACCCCCGTGTTAGAAAACGGCAATAGAATGACTAAAAGGATTCTAAAATTTAACTACAATTTTCTTTATAAAACAGATCAGAGCAACTAGGTATGTACAAAACCAAAAAGATTAAGATGTGTGCTTTGAGCTCTTAGGGCAAGACTGTACATTCACAAAGTATAGCCCTGTAATGACAGGACGGGAATACTTGTTTTCTGACTGGTTCCAAGTCACTCCTAGAATTTTTATCTTACTCACACTGCTGAGAAAGTTGCTGCTAAACTATGGGTCTGCACCCATGGCAAGACTATATGAGGGAGGGGCTTATGGTGTCTACATCCTTACCCACAGAAGGTGCAGAGGTAGGGTGGAGGGGAAAAGTAAGAAAGGATACAGCTGTGGATAGGAGGAAGGGCAGTGTAGATACCAGTCTAACAGGTTATACTGGCTGTAGAATGGCCTTGCCTAATAGGGTACAGAATGTGAGTGAGGCCAAACAGCAAAAATTAAGATGTTTGTACCCTAATGCGAGGAGCCTAGGTAACAAAATGGAGGAACTGGAGTTACTGGTGCAGGAAGTGAAACCCGATATTATAGGGATAACAGAAACATGGTGGAATAGTAGTCATGACTGGACTACAAGTATTGAGGGGTATGTGCTGTTTCGGAAAGACCGAAATAAAGGCAAAGGTGGTGGAGTAGCACTGTATATCAATGATGAGGTAGAATGTAAAGAAATAAGAAGCAATGAAATGGATATGACGGAGTCCGTCTGGGCAAAAATTACATTGGGGAAGAAACTATTAGAGCCTCCCCTGGGATAGTGCTCGGGGTGGGCTATAGACCGCCATCTAATTTGGATATGGATAGAGCCCTTTTTAATGTTTTTAATAAAGTAAATACTAATGGAAACTGTGTGATCATGGGAGACTTTAACTTCCCAGATATAGACTGGAGGACGAGTGCTAGTAATAATAATAGGGCTCAGATTTTCCTAGATGCAATAGCTGATGGATTCCTTCAGCAAGTAGTTGCTGAACCGACTAGAGAGGATGCCATTTTAGATTTGGTTTTGGTGAGTAGTGAGGACCTCACAGAAGAAACGGTTGTAGGGGATAGTCTTGGCTCAAGTGATCATGAGCTAATTCAGTTAAAACTGAATGGAAGGATGTCATAAATATAAAGGGAAGGGTAAACCCCTTTGAAATCCCTCCTGGCCAGGGGAAAGCTCCTCTCACCTGTAAAGGGTTAAGAAGCTAAAGGTAACCTCGCTGGCACCTGACCAAAATGACCAATGAGGAGACAAGATACTTTCAAAAGCTGGGAGGAGGGAGAGAAACAAAGGGTCTGTGTGTCTGTCTATATGTTGGTTTCTGCCAGGGATAGACCAGGAATGGAGTCTTAGAACTTTTAGTAAGTAATCTAGCTAGGTATGTGTTAAATTATGATTTCTTTAAATGGCTGAGAAAAGAATTGTGCTGAATAGAATAACTATTTCTGTCTGTGTATCTTTTTTGTAACTTAAGGTTTTGCCTAGAGGGGTTCTCTATGTTTTTGAATCTAATTACCCTGTAAGATATCTACCATCCTGATTTTACAGGGGGGATTTCTTTATTTCTATTTACTTCTATTTTTATTAAAAGTCTTCTTGTAAGAAAACTGAATGCTTTTTCATTGTTCTCAGATCCAAGGGTTTGGGTCTATGGTCACCTATGCAAATTGGTGAGGCTTTTTATCCAACATTTCCCAGGAAAGGGGGGGTGCAAGTGTTGGGAGGATTGTTCATTGTTCTTAAGATCCAAGGGTCTGGGTCTGTAGTCACCTAGGCAAATTGGTGAGGCTTTTTACCAAACCTTGTCCAGGAAGTGGGGTGCAAGGTTTTGGGAAGTATTTTGGGGGGAAAGACGCGTCCAAACAGCTCTTCCCCAGTAACCAGTATTAGTTTGGCGGTGGTAGCGGCCAATCCAAGGACAAAGGGTGGAATATTTTGTACCTTGGGGAAGTTTTGACCTAAGCTGGTAAAGATAAGCTTAGGAGGTTTTTCATGCAGGTCCCCATATCTGTACCCTAGAGTTCAGAGTGGGGGAGGAACCTTGACAAAGGATTAACAAAAATAAATCTGCAACTAGGGTTTTTGATTTCAAAAGGGCTGACTTTCAAAAATTAAGGAAATTAGTTAGGGAAGTGGATTGGACTGAAGAATTTATAGATCTAAAGGTAGAGGAAGCCTGGGATTATTTTAAATCAAAGCTGCAGAAGCTATCGGAAGCCTATATCCCAAGAAAGGGGAAAAAATTCATTGGCAGGAATTGTAGACCAAGCTGGATGAGCAAGCATTTCAGAGAGGTGATTAAGAAAAAGCAGAAAGCATACAGGGAGTGGAAGGAGGGAGGGATCAGCAAGGAAAGCTACCTTATTGAGGTCAGAACATGTAGGGATAAAGTGAGACAGGCTAAAAGTCAAGTAGAGTTGGACCTTGCAAAGGGAATTAAAACCAATAGTAAAAGGTTCTATAGTCATATAAATAAGAAGAAAACAAAGAAAGAAAAAGTGGGACCGCTAAACACTGAGGATGGAGTGGAGGTCAAGGATAATCTAGGCATGGCCCAATATCTAAACAAATACTTTGCCTCAGTCTTTAGTCTTATTAAAGAGGATCTTAAGGATAATGGTAGCATGACAAATGGGAATGAGGATATGGAGGTAGATAGACATTACCATATTTGAGGTAGAAGCGAAACTCAAACAGCTTAATGGGACTAAATCGGGGGGCCTAGATAATCTTCATCCAAGAATATTAAAGGAATTGGCACATGAAATTGCAAGCCCATTAGCAAGAATTTTTAACGAATCTGTAAACTCGGGTTGTACCGTATGATTGGAGAATTGCTAACATAGTTCCTATTTTTAAGAAAGGGAAAAAAAGTGATCCGGATAATTACAGGCCTGTTAGTTTGACAACTGTAGTATGCAAGGTCTTGGAAAAAATTTTGAAGGAGAAGGTACTTAAGGACATTGACTTCAATGGTAAATGGGACAAAATACAACATGGTTTTACAAAAGGTAGATCGTGCCAAACCAACCTGATCTCCTTCTTTGAGAAAGTAACAGATTTTTTAGACAAAGGAAAAGCAGTAGATCTAATTTACCTAGATTTTAGTAAGGTATTTGATACCGCGCCACATGGGGAATTATTAGTTAAATTGGATAAGATGGGGATCAATAGGAAAATTGAAAGGTGCGTAAGGAATTGGTTAAAGGGGAGACTACAACACGTCTTACTGAAAGGTGAACTGTCAGGCTGGAGGGAGGTTACCAGTGGAGTTCCTCAAGGATCGGTTTTGGGACCAATCTTATTTAATTTTTATTACTGACCTCAGCACAAAAAGTGGGAGTGTGCTAATAAAGTTTGTGGATGATACAAAGCTGGGAGGTATTGCCAATTTAGAGAACGACAGGGATTTCCTACAGGAGGATCTGGATGACCTTGTAAACTGGAGTAATAGTAATAGGATGAAATTTAATAGTGAGAAATGTAAGGTCATGTATTTAGGGATTAATAACAAGAATTTTAGTTATAAGCTAGGGACGCATCAATTAGAAGTAACGGAGGACAAAAAGGACCTTGGGTTATTGGTTGATCATAGGATGACTATGAGCTGCCAATGTGATATGGCCGTGAAAAAGCTAATGTGGTCTTGGGATGCATCAGGAGAGGTATTTCCAGTAGGGATAAGGAGGTTTTAGTACCATTATACAAGGCACTGGTGAGACCTCACCTGGAATACTGTGTGCAGTTCTGGTCTCCCATGTTTAAGAAGGATGAATTCAAACTGGAACAGGTACAGAGAAGGGCTACTAGGATGATCCGAGGAATGGAAAACCTGTCTTATGAAAGGAGACTCAAGGAGCTTGGCTTGTTTAGCCTAACTAAAAGAAGGTTGAGGGGAGATATGATTGCTCTCTATAAATATATCAGAGGGATAAATACTGGAGAGGGAGAGGAATTATTTAAGCTCAGTACCAATGTGGACACAAGAACAAATGGATATAAACTGGCCACCAGGAAATTTAGACTAGAAATTAGACGAAGGTTTCTAACCATCAGAGGAGTGAAGTTTTGGAATAGCCTTCCAAGGGAAGCAGTGGGGGCAAAAGATCTATCTGGCTTTAAGATTAAACTCGATAAGTTTATGGAAGAGATGGTATGATGGGATAAGATGGTTTTGCTAATTAAATATTCATGGTAAATAGGCCCAATGGCCTGTGATGGGATATTAGATGGGGTGGGATCCGAGTTACCCAAAAAAGAATTTTTTGTAGTATCTGGCTGATGAATCTTGCCCATATGCTCAGGGTTTAGCTGATCGCCATATTTGGGGTCAGGAAGGAATTTTCCTCCAGGGCAGATTGGAAGAGGCCCTGGAGGTTTTTCGCCTTCCTCTGTAGCATGGGGCACGGGTCACTTGCTGGAGGATTCTCTGCTCCTTGAAGTCTAAACTACGATTTGACGACTTCAATAGCATAGATATAGGTGTGAGGTTTTTTGCAGGAGTGGTGGGTGAAATTCTGTGGCCTGCGTTGCGCAGGAGGTCAGACTAGATTATCATAATGGTCCCTTCTGACCTACATATCTATGAATCTATGAAAAAACAAAACAAAAAGAAGGATTGTAGCTAGCAAAAGGCTGCAAAAATAAGTAAATGAAATGATCTACTTACCCAGACGCAGAAGTCTGTGGCTGGTCATTTGAACCTGAAAAACAGTCAAGAGTCACTTATGACTGCTTTGCTGTTAAACAAAAAATGGGAAAAACAAAATAAAAATTATATTTATAATGATGAGTAAGATTAAGTTTGTGGCATGGACATTTTTAGTAGATGTCACAGACAGGTCACGGGCAATTCAATGAAAAATTCATTGAAGCCCGTGACCCGTCCTTGATGTTTTCTAAAAATACCCGTAACAAAACGGGTAGCCTGGGTAGCTGCGGTGGCTGGGCACTCCAGGGTCTCTTTCCGCTGGCGGCTCCAAGCTGGAGAGGTCTCCCCTGCCTCCTGCAGCAGCCAGGAGCTCTGGGGATCCTCCCTGCCGCCCACCATGGCTGGGAGCTGACAGGGTCCCCCCCTGCAGCAACCAGAAACGCCGAGGCTCCCCTTCTGCCGCCAGATCCCCCAGTTGTATACTCCAACAATCAGGAATCAATATTATGTTATCAACTTTTCCACATAAAAATACCCAAATTGAAATATACACCTTATACAGTGATTAATGCCCTACTAAATTCATGGTCTATTGTGATCAATTTCACAGTCATAGGATTTTAAAAATAGTCACTTTCGGGACTAAGATATTTACATCTGAAATTTCAGGGTGCTGTGAGGTGGGGGTCCTGACCCAAAAGGGCAGGGGGAGGAGGTCATGGATTGCCACCCTCTCACTTCTGTGCTGCCATCAGAGCTGGGCTGGGCTCTGAAGGTAGCAGCCACTGAGTTTCCTGCAGCTGGGGGAGTCTCCCGGAGGTGGGTCTGATCTTTCCCATGCTGCTGGGAGCACTCCAGCTGGGGGCTCCTAGCTGCTAGTCCTAGCCCAGCTGGGGAAGGGCAGGATTTCCTCTTCACCTGCAAGGCCACTCTCAGAGCATCCAGCAACTGTGCCTTTCTTCATTCACTGTCTCTGCGCCAAAAACACCTGTCCATGCTTAGACACGGCTCTCTCTGCATCCACAGAGTTTGCTGGAATTGTCACACAGCACCAACCTGTAGCACAGGCAAAGTACAGTCCACTTCTTTCACAATCTTTTTGTAAGCAGTCAAAGCCAGGAATTGCATTAAGCAAGGTTAAATCCACCAACCAACAAGTGCATTTGTGCTGGGTCAAAAATACACACAGCTTTTAGGAACCCTGCTGCAGGTTGTTGAAACTTTTGAGCCATTTTTGCTATGTTGCTTGACGGTTCCCCATAGCAGTAGTATTGTCTGAGCTTCTTTGCCATGCAAGAAAACATCTGCCGAGCACTGGCATTTAAGTCAGTGTTATCAGAGTGATTTTCGTTTGACCGTGCTTCAGCCCAGAACAGTACATCCATTACTTTGTTTAAAGCTTGGTGGATTGTGACATATCGAGATTCAAACCAAGTGATTCAGTCCATCAGTCCTGTGGCATTCTTGGCAATGAACTGAACTTCCTCATTCAGTTGTGCACTGTTTAGAAGAGTTGAAAGGTCTGTTAAAACCTGCGTTTTTGGGGTCAGTGTCAGCTTTTCTGAGATGAACTCTGAGTAGTACTTCAGGTGAGCTGCATGACACTGTATAGCCCAAAAACAGGAATTCCAACAAGTAAACTGCTGGCTCTGGGGGAAGTGCAATTTTTTGTTCCCAGATTTCAGTCATTTTGGTCGTGTTTGCAATGTGCTGCCTGTATCAAAGTTTGCACGTAGGGCAGTGTTTAAAGATCTTTTTAATGTAGCTCACCAGTTTATCAACTTCACCAAACTCATCTCCAGAGCTCACTGACAAGAGAAATTATGTGTGTATTACATGTAATATGGACAGCATTTAGCATTAGACCTTGGAGAACAGATTTGAAAGATTTTGTCATGTAATCTGTCGCTTGTGAAAGCGGATACTTTGTTAAAGTCTGCAGCATATTTTGAAATAGTTTTAATTATCGCTTGAGACGCTGTAATGTAGTTAACAGCATCCAAGTAAACGTAGTCAGCGAGCATGGTTGTTAGCTTTCCTCTCTGTACATCTTCAGCCTTCTCAGAAATAAAAATCAAACAGAATGTGCAGTACATACTCGTCTTGATCATCAGTGGATTCATTAGAAATAATTGCAAAAGACTCACATAAATTAGAGACTTCATCTCCTCAAAATGTGTAGCAAAAAATCTTTGGAAGGTAGTCCTGTTGTAGCTTATTCGCACTTAGAAAGTGTGATACAGGAGGGCCAGTGAGCAGTGGGAGAGTGCTAGAGGGGAAATATATAAGCTCAAGGCTAATTAAGGCATGGTTCCCTGTAGACTAGGAAAGGTGGCTGCAGGTGAATTGGAGCACCTGCAGTCAATTAAGGCCCTATTAGGAACCTAATAAAACCCCTTGCTTCAGGCAGACAGGGGAAGAGGAGGAGGAAGGAGGAGAGAGGAATGGAGCTTGGAGGTGTACTGAGAGACTTGGAAAATCAGAGAACCAAAGTAAGGGGGACCCTGTTGCAGTAGGGGAGGGAGGTTCCCTTCCCCAGCATCTAAGGACTGCAGGTACCGTACCCAAGGGGGAAGAGGGTAAGAACCCGCAGAGGTTGAGAGGGGCTAGGGCTCAAAGTGAGGACCAAACCCAGACCCGTCCCCCGGTTCCCTCCTTTACCACCTTCCTGGGCCACTAGCAGGGCCATCGACGCCCCAAGAACAGGGGCAAGGGGTAGAATCTTAGCTCCCTGCCAAGAAAAGTGCAGGACCCACCAGACTAACATCAGCCATCTTATCACATAAGCAACTGGAATTTTGTATGTCCCGTTGAATGAATTTACATAGCCTTGGGTGATCGCATTTTTCCAACAGTATATTAGCACTTGCAAATGCATCCACAGGTTCCATTCTGAATAAATGATGGGTCTCAGAGCTCTCTGTTGAAACACTGCAACTTGCACAAAATAGTGTGTCACCACTGGCATGGAGAATTTGGCTTCCAAACTGTTTCACACGATCCACTGAGTAATGATTAGAGATTTTTTTTTTATTTACTCTGGACGCTCATTTTAAAGTAGTTTCACTTGTCTTCCAGTAGGCTACCAATTGAGATCACTACATTAGAAAACGGCCCCATATCTACCAATCAGTCAGTTGAGCCCTGACTTCTATTTGCTGCCCTAAAACATCAATCACAAAATCCTGTCAAGCACTTGACTTTCTTTTTCTTCAAATTGAAAAAAAGCTGCTAATTGCATCTGAAAGGAACACAGTGACCCGTTCTCCCCCCCCCCACAGATGCAGAGCAATGGGGGCAGGAAATGAGCAGGGGGAAGGGGCGGAACTTCCTGTAGCCAGCAGAAGTGTCTGAGAGCAGCCATGCAAGGAAAGAGGAGATGCCCTCCCTCCCCAGCCAGGACTAGCAGCTAGAAGCCCCCAGCAGAAGGAAGAGATCAAATCAACCTCCTCAGAGCCCAGCTCTGAAGGCAGCAGCCGCAAAGCTTCTTTCAGCCAGGGGAAATTCCTGGAGGTGGGTCAGATCTCCCACCAAGAGCAGCCATGCAGGGGAAAAGAAAGTCCCATCCCTCTCCAGCCTGGCCGGGACTACCAACTAGGAGCCCCTTGCTGGGGTGCCCCCAGGAGTACGGAGGAAATCAGACCCCCCCCCCTCTGGGAGCCTCTCCAGCAGCTGCCTTCAGAACCCAGCCCAGCTCTGCCGGCAGTGCAGAAGTGACACAAAGGAGAAAAGCCCAGCTCTGAAGGCAGCAGCCATGGAGCTTCTTGCAGCCAGGTAGGTTCCCGGAGGTGTGTCTGATCTCTCCCAGAGTGCGTTCATGCAGGGGAAGAGGAATCCCTCCCCATAAAAATAAAAAACATTTACCTTAATTTCATACATCTATAAATAAAATCATCAACAGAAAAGTCATAGTACCTACCTTCTCCCTCTTCCATAAAGGAGAAAGTGTTTCCGTAGCTGTGTTGGTCCCAGGTTATGAGAGAGACAAGGAACGTGGTTTATTATCTTTTATTCCCTAGACATGAAGCAGCTCTGTGTAGCTTGAAAGCTTGTACCTTCCACCAACAGAGGATGATCCATAGAGAGAGATTATCTCACCCACCTTGTCTCTCTCATAAAGGAGAAAAGCATTCAAGACCTAGAAAGTCAGATTACAGTTCAGCAGTACGGAAATACTGAATAAATTTATCGCTTTACCTTTTGCTCTCTTTACTTCTTGGTTTTCTGTGTCAGAAACTTTTCTTTTGGCAGGATGAGATGATGATATGCTAATTGTAGGCCCAGGCACCGTCTGTTTAGCACCTTTTAACTCTGCAATTTTCTGTTTATAAAAAAGTTTGAATCAGCAAATAAAATTCAAGAGACTCTTCATTTCAAGACCTCAAAAAATTACTGTGGCTTAAGACTTGTCTACATTTAAAGCTCTGCAGTGGCGCAACCGTAGCGCTTCAGCGAAGATGCTACCTACACTGACAGGAGGGATTCTCCCATCGTTGTACGTAATCCACCTCCCTGAGGTGGTAGCTAGGCTGAGGTTGACCTAGCGCTGTATTCACCAAGGGTTACATCAGTTTAACTAAGTCATTCAGAGTCGTCAATTTCACACCCCTGAACGATGTAGTTCTACCGACCTAATTTTCTGTTTTCCACTTTGTTATACTTGTAGACCAGACCTTAGAGTTTAAAGTTCAGAATATTTAGAAACCTTATTAAAATAAAGTTACAGAACACGTTTTCACAACATGCACACCTCTGAAACACTGAAATTGATGTAATCAAGCTTACAAGAACTGAGGTAATGAAGGCTATGATAGTGGTGATCTAAGGTAGTGGCTCTACAAACTTTCCAGACTACTGCATGTACCCTTTCCAGTAGTGTGACTGGATACCCCCAAATTTCACCTCACTTAAACTACATGCTTACGAAATCAGACATAAAAATACAAAAGTGTCACAGCACACGAGTATTGAAAAATCATTTAATTTCTCATTTTACCTTATAATTATAAAATCAATCAGTTGGAATATAAATATAGCACTTACATTTCAGTGTATAATAGAGAGCAGTATAAACAAGTCACTGTCTGTATGAAATTTTAGTTTGTACTGACTTCGTTGCCTGTTGTAAAACTAGGCAAATATCTAGATGAGCTGATGTACCCCTGGAAGACCTCTGTGTCCCCACTGGTTCAGAACCACTGATCTAAGGTGAAGTAAGGAATGAAAGGGCAGGTCAACATTAGAAGCACTACATAGGTGCAGCTACACCGATGCAGCTGTGCCGCTGTAAGACATCTGGTGAAGACGCTCTATGCCAATGGGAGAGCACTCTCCCATCAGCATAATTACTTCACCTCCATGAGAAGCGGAAGCTATGTTGGCAGGAGAGCATCTCCTGCTGACATAGCACTGGTGTGGACAGCGCTTAGGTTGCTGTAACTTGTATTGCTCAGGGATGTCTTTTTCACACCCCTGAATGATATAAGTTAGATCGACTTAAGCAGTAGTGTAGACCTGCCCAAAGCTACAGGTACTTCAATGGTTGTAGGTACTGTAAATGCTATACAGTAAATGCTAGGATTGGTGATATAATCACTTTTTTTTTTTTCAAACGAACAAACATGATGGCTCAAGAGATTGACAGTGGGGTCTTTCACCTTTAGATCATTGATTTAAATATGATCCAGGTCAGTACTGCCTAAAATTGATATCATCTCATGGCCCTTTGGTGGCCTGCATGAAATGAGTTGATGGGTTCACTTCAGTTCCCAAACGAGAAGTGTCCACATCACAAGTCACCATTAACTCAACCCTACAGATAGGGTTGGAAAATTTTTTGAATTTCAGATATCTGTCAGGGTCTATACCAAAACAATGCATTACATTCTAAAACCTCAAGACAACAATCACATCAGACTCAAAGCAATATTTTTTTTTAAATCTACACAACAGGATTGGGATTACATTTAAAAAAAAGTATAAAACACAAATTATAAGTGTTATCAAATTATATATTCCTGCATCTCTCTAATCTGTTCACATGCCATTATCTGTTAGTACATACCCTCTTAAAAATTGGAAATAAATTCGTTTTTTCTGCCTTGCTACAAGATGTGCTTGAAGTCTCGATCTTTTTTAAAAACATTAGGTGCTAGTGAGATTATTTGCCAGTTGCAATGCATATATAGCATAATATTTTTTATAAATGAGAATTATGCTATAATATAGCCACATCCTAGCTTCTAAATAGAGTCCTTAACTTATTCAGAGGTTCAAGAGACCTGAAGTTAGACCACTACATTCTCCTTTGCACAATTATTACAAAAAATATTTGTAAATTCTATCATGAGATTAAAAAAGAAGCCCAGCAAAAACAAGACAAACAGGGAAAAAAAAAAAAACCTCTCAACAGCAACAAGAACTCAGCCACAGTGCTACAAGAATCATGGCTGTTCATGGGAAAGTCTGAATTTCCGAAGCCCGAAATTCATCATCCTATTTCTTGCTCTTGCATATACCTAGTCCGCAACAGGTGTGCTTATTTTAGGATAGTCAACTTACTCATGACTGGAGCTAGTGGTTGTCATGTTAAGCTATGTGAAAAATCACGGTCTCATCTTGGGGAGGAAAAGGTAAGTCATTTATTAGTGATAAAGCCAGAAGTATTAACTGTGAAACAAGGGAATTTAAAGTAAGAGTTTAAAATAATTTACTAACATTTAATAGTTTAAAACCATCAGCACCTACAGTTCAGCATCACAGCAGAGGTAGTGCTAGGAGAAGACAGGAGAAACCTGCTGCTATCTCTTAAGTGCTGCTTTTCTGCTCAGAAAAGGCAGCAGAAGTGTACAGACACCATCAGCTATGTAAGTTTTCACTTAAAAAAACCCAAACAATAATAGATCACAGAATCCGTGTCTCTCTGACAACCTATTTCTTTAAGCTTTAGATTTTTACCTTCCATGCAACCCAGTTTCTCATGTGCCAGCTCAGTGAAATTTGTTCAATCATGACTACTCAACATACAAATGCAGTAGTCACCAAAAGTCACACAGTTATTGATATATTCTGTTTAAAGAGATGAATCAAAGAATCCATAACAATCCATAACTTTCATGGTATTTGAACTACCTAGTTTAATCTCTGAATGTTCTATAAAACAGTAGTAGCTGTTTTGATTCGTACAAGACAGACTTGAAAAAAAATGCATTTAAAAATTATATCCAAGACAGAGTCTAAAGCCATCAATTACTAGCACTCCACCAATATAAGACCCAGCTCCTTGCTTCACTAAGGCTTTGCCTTCACTTAAAAAAAAAATTTTTTTTTTTTAAAACCACATGCTAGTTAACACAAAGCAATAAATACATGCTAAAATCCTAGTATTGACAAGGCAGCTTGTAATTTTCAGATGTGTTAGCAGGTCAAGATATCCATGAGGCACACCTGCTAGCATAAGTGGAAAAAAAAAAACAAACAAACAAGCTGCCTTGCCCACACTAGGATTTTACCAAATCACTGTATCATCGAACACCTGGTTTAAAAAAAAAACAAAAAAAAACCACACCCACCATTTTTCCTAGGGTGAATGTACCTTGACAATACCCCTGACAAAATCAAGTACCTATCACCTGGGAGTTCAGCTAACTTGACACATTGTTAAACAGATGTTTACATTTTAAAATTACAGAAAATGTCTCCAAGGTTATATCTATAATGCAAAAAAACACCAGTATCTGGCCCAGTGTCAGCTGACTCGGGCATGCGGGGCCATAAAATTGCAATACAGATATTCAGGCTTGGGCTCCAGCTCGTGCATCTACACTGCAATTTTATAGTCCTGAAGCTGATCTCAAGTTAGCTGACATGGACCACTCATTGAAACACAGACATTACCCTAAGTTACAAATAGAAACCTACTGACAATTTGCAAATAGATTCCATATATGGCCCTGTAAATGTTGTAATAGTTATTAAACACCTGCATGTATGACTTGCCTTGATGGCTCACTCCCCCAAAAGATGGAGTGCCACTATCACTTCATCAATGCACAATTTTTTTAAATGGTACAAGTTCCCATCATCACATCAGCTATCTAATCTAGAATCTGTACAAGTTACACAAACACAAAGATTACAAATTGTTCTCATAAATCTTGTTATATTGTCAAAGTCTTACCTCTTTGTGTTGTTTCCCTAGTATGTGTGTTTGCCACAAAAGTTCACCCTTAATCTGGGTGTTGCACAAAGTACAGCTTAAGTGCCCCAAACGATTATATGTACATTTCTAAGTTGAGGAAATATTTCAAGATCATACATAACCCTCAAAATTATAATTCTGAAATTCCAATTTGTAGATACTTTTAAAACACTATTTTCAAAGGGATGCTGAGGAAGTGAAGCCCACAGCTTAAGCATTCTTAAAAACATTCCATTACTATTACGTTTCAGGGTTTCAATTTATAAGCAAAACACTATATTGTGCTAGGCAGGAGTGTCCAAATTGTGTTACCACTGGTGTACCATCCATTCATTTCAAAACAATACTGTAAGATGGTACATGAACCAATGAAGTTTAGGAGACACTGTGCCATTGCAGGTTTCAGAGTAACAGCCGTGTTAGTCTGTATTCGCAAAAAGAAAAGGAGTACTTGTGGCACCTTAGAGACTAACCCATTTATTTGAGCATAAGCTTTCGTGAGCTACAGCTCACTTCATCGGATGCATCCGATGAAGTGAGCTGTAGCTCACGAAAGCTTATGCTCAAATAAATGGGTTAGTCTCTAAGGTGCCACAAGCACTCCTTTTCTTTGTGCCATTGAAGGAGGACTACTAGAACATCAAATGGTACAAGAATAGATGTGTAATTTCAAAATATTTGTAATGCCTTCAAGTACACAAGATTTATAATGTACTAATTAACAGCATTCATTCTATATCATGATCCAATAGCACAGACCCCTGCACTGGTGCAGAGCTGCCCGGATTTTAATGAGATGTCAGACGGGGCCAGTGCTTGCAGACTGTGATGCAGGATCAGGGCCTATCACTAAGGAAAGTTGACACTGACTGGCAGCTTCGCTGTCCCAGCTAGTTAAGGACAAAGCATAATCGAACAGAAGTAAGGGAGGTTTTCCTCCTGGGGTGTAACTATCCCTCCAGATCTCCACCACACAGCTAAGGAAACCAGCCCCTCACAGGCGCCGGTCACTGTTCCGGGGGGAAGGGGTCGAGTCCAGGAACGTTTGCGAGGGTTTCTCTGGTTCGGGCACGAGGGGAGCATCGCAAACGCGGGGCTTTCCCCGGGAACCCAGAAAAGTCCGGACTTGTTCCCGGCCCAGCGCGGGGCAGCCAGAGCCACAGTCCGCCGTGCAGCGGCCCGGGGGGACTGGAGGGAGGCCGGCGGGGGGGGGGGGCAGGCAGGACCCTGAGTCTAGGCAGGATCTTCGTTATTTTTATTACTAAGAGCGCGGGGGGGGAAGGGTAGAGTCCCCCCCGCCCGGCACCAGCCCCCGGCGGTCTCGGCGCTATTGACGCGAAGCCGCTGAACCTCCGGGGCGGGCCGGGAAAGGATATTTAGCGAACGGCGCCTCGATTCGCTTCTTCCCGGCGCTTTGTCGCTGCTTCTCCCGCATGAGCCGCCGCAGCTCGTCCTGCTGCACCAGCTTCCGCTCCGAGCCCGGCCCCGCCGCCGCCGCCATCTTGCCCCGGAAATGCCCCCCGCCGCCACTTCCGTTTTAGGAGCCGCTAAGCCCCGCCCCTTTCCCCTGCCAAAGGTCTCGCGTTAGGCGAAGGGGGCGAGGCCAGAACCTGGAGTGAGGCGGAGGCGATCGACCCCTGTTCCAGCGTGGGGGCGGGGCTGCGTATAGGCCCCGCCCCTTGCCCCGCCCCTTCGTCCCGCTTCGCTCCTCTGTCAAGGGACTTCGCGGCTTTGCGGTTTCCCCTGCCAGAGAGCGTGGCAGTGACGACTCCAGCGACGTTCACTGCCCCTTACAGGGACCGTCAGCGGCAGACGTCGCCCACGTGTCCAGTCGCAGCGTCATTCACAAGTCCGGTTGCCAACTTGCCGATGACGCAAAACCGCCCCTGCCGCGGCGCCCCCTGCTCCAAGGCCCCGCCCCCGCTCAGTCCACGCCCCCCTCCGCCGCCCACGCCAGCGTGGCCAACTTTCTCACCTCACCAGACTGACCGCCCTAGCCCCGCCCCTTCTCCCAGGCCCCGCCCCCTGCTCCCTGCATTCCCCTCCCTCGGTGGCTCGCTCTCCCCCCTCACGGGGCCGGGGCTGGCGTCCGGTTGCCAAAAGCGAACGCCCTTGCCCCGCCCCCTCTCAGAGACCCCACCCCCTTCCGTCCCTCCCTCTTCCCCGCCCCCGTCACTCACGCTCAGCGGGCTGGGCAGAGCGCTGGGACGCGGGAGGAGGTGAGGGCTCCGGCAGGGGGTGTGGGCTCCCGGGTGGTGCAGGAGGGGGCTCCGGGCTGTGGGGTGGGGCCAAGGGGTTCGGAGTGTGGGAGGCGACTCCCGGCTGGGCCAGCAGCTTGGAGTGTGTGGGGGGTGCGGGACCTGGGCTGGAGGTGCAGGATCCAGGGTGGGGCCAGAAATGAGGGGTTCAGGGTGTGGGAGGGGGCTTCAGGTGGGGGTGGGGGCTCTGGGGTGGGGCCAGGGATGAGGGCTTTGGGGTGCAGGAGGAAGCTCCAGACTGGGGCAGAGGGGTTCAGAGTGTGGGAGGGGGCTCAGGGCTGGGGCAGGGGGTTGGGATGCAGGACTGGGTGAGGGGTGCAGGCTCTGGGCGGCGCTTACTTCAGGCAGCTCCCCGGAAGCGACGACGTGTCCCTCTGGCTCCTAGGCACACGGGCTACCAGGGGACTCTGAATGCTGCACCTGTAAGCAGGCACTGCCCGCGCAGCTCCCAGTGGCCGTGGTTCCCAGCCGGAGCCAGAGGGACATGTCGCCGCTTTCAGGAGCTACGCAGAGCTGGCCGCTGTAGCCACCGGGACTTTTAGCAGCGAGCCACCAGAGTCCCTTTTCGACAGGGTGTTCTAGTCCAAAACCTGATGCCTGGCAACCCTACCAAGCAGCTCAATAGTGTTAATGAAATCCATTCAGTGCTCTTCGTCCTACATTTTTTTGCACACCAAGTCCATGTCATTACATCTCAATTAAGTATGTCCACAGAAGGGGCATTCCAGGGCTTCTTAGGCTGAGATCACTATAATCTGCAGGTGAGGAAAAGAAGTTTGCGGAGGCTAACTGAATACTTTGCTAAAGCCAGGTGCACTTTGGAGAGAACAGCACATTAGACAGGGCTTGATTTTATCCAAATGTGTTTTTCGCAGCTCCGTGGTAGGTAGCCCACCCTGTGATGCAGGGAAAGATGGCTAATGAAGCGGGCAGGGTGGGGGAGGCCCTCACAGATGGAAGGTGGGGTGGGATGGGACAGGGCCGGACCATGTGCCCCAATGGGGCGAGGGTCACCTTACCTCCAGCAATGAAGCCTTACTAAAGGATCAACGGTGGAGCTAGCTTGATTTCGGCACCCCTTTATGCTTTCCCCTGGCTTGGCCTGGGGCTAGCTGCCCAGCTGTTTTCAAAAATCAAACCATGGAAAAGGGGTGGAAGAGGTTTGGTCTCCCCTCTTCCTGATTTGAATTTCCTCCCCTTACCAATGTTAAGGTATTTTTTTTCTATAGGTTAATATATTTTTGATTTCACCCGATTATCATATACATCAATTCATTGCCATGATACTCTTGCAGTTGGATGTTCTGTCCAAAACATTCCAGAAGCTGATGTTATTATGGACAAAATTCCCTCTTACATTCTACTTCCAATTCCCCAAAACTTATGGGTTACCTAAGTTTATTTATGCCAGAGATCATAGGTCTCAAGCCTCATGCTAACTGCTGAAGCCAGTGTCTTACAGGATACAAGCCTGTAGGTTCCTTGCATTACTACTGAATATAATAAAGCAGAATATAATGCAAAGTAGAGAAAATAATAGAGGTAAGCTAGCCCACCAGGCTACAATGTGACAGGCTTCTGAGAAATGTCTGACGCTAAATGAGCACAAGATGGAAGAGCGGTTGGTAAGCAGAAGGAAGTCTCCAGAAGAACTGGCTGGGGTTGTAGCAATTTCCTTTTAGGGAAAAGTCTACATTTGTGAAGTAGAGGTTAGCTAGGGTAAGCCTAGTTAGCAGCAGAGGCCAAGAATGCTTCTTTCCCATTTGCACTTAGGTAGAAGGGTATGTCCTCCTTTCTCCTACGTGGACGTTACTTAAATGTATGTGTCACCTCCACATTGTAGCCACTCATCTTGGACCATCTTGAAGCACTGTCTAAGGCAGAACATTATTAGCGGAGGTCTCCATGGTGAAAACATTAGATCTGTGTTCCATGTTTCACTGGCTTCATTTTTGCTTCTTCATGCAACTCAAGGTGGTGACATTTGTATTCTGTATGGTTGTATGTTGGGTTGCCTGCTGGCCACCTCAGAGACTGCCTTTCTCCCCTACAGCTGAGATCACCAAATTATTTTCTGTTATGAAGCTGCAGATTAAGTCACTTTCCTTTGCAGTTCACCTGTGCCTATGCAAAGCCCCCCTCCCCTTTTTTAAAAAAACAAACAAACTCAGCATTTTGCCTGAGAGACTGAATTCAAAAAAGTCAAAGAGTTCTTTAGAGGAGTTAGGATAGAACATTGGTTGGGGCCATTGGCCTGAAACAGTCTGAAATTGTTTTGAATGCTCCTACTGAAAAGCTTAAGCTATGAATAAACATTTTTACAAATATCACTAGCTTTCCAGTAAAATATTACATCTGTTTTTAGTCCCAGAGGTTACTGGGCTTTAAATCTATTACTGCTTCCTCCTTCTGTGTGTTTGGTGGGGAGAGGGGGACGGGAGAAGAGGTTGTCCATATCTTCCATGCCAGCCTCATTAAGTGAAACATAATTCTTAATTACATACATCATTATCGGAAGATGTGTGCCATGGTATCAAATATCCACAAGTAGTATTTTAACTTCATTATATTAAATTCTCGATAACTTACCATAGAATGGTGTTACTGTATATTAAAGTACAGTCAACAGGGAATGGATTAATCCGCAGGATTTCTGTACTATACACCACACCACAATGATCAGACAAGCAACAAAGAAATTGATTATATTTTCCGTATTTTATTTTCCTTTTTCCCCTTCATTTACTGTAGCACAATAAGTTAAATAAAAATATCAACCCAAATTCTGTACTGCCACATGGGCCACTGCAAATTGGGAGTAACTCCAATGAAGTAAAAGGAAGTATTCCAGATTTACACCATTGAGACTAACAGCAGAACTTGGGTCAAAGAGAATACCACTAAAAGTTTGATATTTTAAGTTACTCAAACAATAAGGAGCAAGATGTTCTATAATTCTGAGATTTTGCAGCTCTAAGAATGTTTTTGTTTGCACCACAGTGCAGCCAAAAGGGGACTTGAGGAGGGGAGGTAGGGGGTGAAGGTGTGGTTTTACTCCAATTTACAAGTTGTCTTTTATGAAAGACATTATAGGAATGTTAGCTTGAAACATGCAAATAGTTCCAAAGTAATACAGCAAATGAGGGAGGTGTTGAGAAAAATGAGGCTAATGAAAAGACAAAGAACATGTTTATCTTTTATTGAGATGGCAGGGGGTGAAAAAGTGCTGTGTTTTGTTTTTAAGACAGGAAGGAAAAATGGATTCAATAACTGAATGGGAAGTGTGCTTATCCCGTATAATTAACAAAACAGTATTGCTTAAATTTGAGTTCTGAATTCATGTTTTAGCTTTCAAAATTTCCATTGGTTTTAAAAATTCCCATTTTCTGCCCTCTCTTCCTCAGCAGTAGTCCACTGCACTTTTTTCAAATATTGAAAATGATTTTTTTGCCAAAGATTAAGGCCATGATTGTGGAAAAAACAGATATAAATCTTTCATATTTGGGAAACTACTATTAGTCAGTCAATCCACACTAAAAATCCTTGGGGAAAACTTTCTACATGCAAAGTCATTAATTTTCCCAAATGAATTAACTCATTTTTAGATTTGGTTATCAAAATAAATTTTCAGTGCATATTATACTGCTAAAAAAGATACAACAAATATCCATGTTCTTTTGAATTATACAAGCAGCAATGACATTTTAAGATGCAATCTTAATAGGTTTCACTTTTATTACATTAACTGAAAGCCTTTGCCTATTATAGCAGAACTGTGATGACTGCTCATAAACACCACAAAGATTGCACTGTTTTTTCCCCAGATTAAAGAACTACTAAGGAGCAGCAGTTATATCTAACCTGCCCTGCCCAGCTCTGCTCACAGGGAAACACTTCTATGCTACACACACTCCTGAAAGTTTATTAAATGTAAAATAAATGTTTAGAGCAGGTGAGGACTAATTCCTCACTTGATAAGAAGCTGATCCTGCACCCATTGAATTCAGTGAGAGTTTTGCCATTGGATTAAATGGTATCAGGATCTGGCCCAGAAGCAGTATTTGCTGCCCTGAACCGGGGCATCACTGGAATGGATATAACTCTGCTCCTCTCAATAGTACTGCAGTCCCAGGCAAACATAGCATGACCATAGTGCTAGCACTGAAAGCTGGTATCACATTCCTAATCACAAATATAATTACTTCCTATCTTAAAAACAGCTCTTCCTAAAAATTTGTAATGAGAAACAAAATACATTCATTTTAAGCCA